TTGTATCTGAATTGCCAGGCGCAGAATACTGGTTGCTAGAAGCATAAGTCTTTCACCACAATCTCGATTATGCAATGGCTGGCAATGGAAACTTTCATCGAATGGAACTCTTGACGATGCTCTCTGCGTCTTCTTGGCTGTACCTTCGAGCTTCACCTATTGCCCATCATTTGTAAGTCATCACTCTGGCAGTCTTCCGTTGCTTTTGTATATCTAATGCGTTTCCCATCAGTAACTCCAGCTCTAGCCCGATGGTCTGTTTCATCTAGAGTTGAGCTTCACTCTTGTACTTGCTGCATCAACAACCACGAGTTGCTGCGGACCGATCACGGCTTGACACATTCGACTCTTTCCGGCTGTCGACGACAACTGATATCGATCGAACATTCTTTGCTGCGACATCTAGATCCTGTACATGATGCGCAATGATCCGAGTTTATGACAGAAGATTGAAATCACGTCTGGCCAATTGATACTCCATGAAGCTCGCTCCAATGTCAGGTGGTACATCAGGTCAGATTCAATGTCAAGCACATCCAGACCCGGGTAGACGTGTAGATGGTTACAGGTGTCAGCCATATCTCACGATGGAGTCGAGAGAGTAAGCGTCGTTGGTACTGATAAGCTCATTGAAGTTGGAGACAATCAGGGGTTGGCAGGTAGAGAGAGATGCGAGTCTATCGATCTTATCGGGTTTGAAGGGAAGGGGATGCTATTTAGCACACATGGTTCATCCAACTATATATACATGGGGACTATGCAGGTATGCCTGATTACACAGACTATAATTAAATCGAAGTCTTGCCCTGGCGTTGTTACTCCTTGTTCATGTTGCAGTGCCTCTGTTCCTGATCATCTTTTGAACAGCCTATCCTTTGGACCAAGAAGGAAGACAAAACTTCATTCACCAGCAGATACTTGAACATTGATGCAAATAAAACGTAATTAATAGACAGAAGAAGCTAACTCTCTGACCCTTTCACACCCTCCCGTGTCACCTCTAGAGTCTACTGTATCTTGTTTATGCATGGAAGTCTTCAAGGAGCCGGTGATGTATGATGGCAGTATGGAAGCCAAGGGCAGCCATCACGGAGAAGGCCACAATCCCCATCGCGAAGTACGGTTCAATATGGGCGATGCTGACTCTCTAGTCTTTTTGACATTTCTAGGCACAAGATCTTTATGAAGTACACCTCTGATACGCCCCTATCCATGGAGATGATGGTTGAACTCCCCAACCGTCTGTGTTGAACGCGCCTAAATCTCAGTATGCAACGCCGATATGCACCAATTTTCCCTTCATCTTAGTCTATCGTCTTGTCGTGAAGAAGTGTCTAGGTATCACTAGCCTTTTCTTTCTCCTTTTCATCTCCAAATTCATCGCCAAACTCTTCAACAATCCAGAGACAAAACTTCTCCCACTCGATCTGCCACTCTTGCATTCTCTTGGCCTTGGCATTCGTCCCAAGACTAGCCTGTTTGATGTCGTTGATCCAGTCAGTCTGGCTCTGGTCCTCGAAAGCAGCCCATCGAACGCTGTTCTCCGCGAGACTGCCAAGGCCTGCGAGACCAAGGTTCTTCCACCCCTGGAGAGCCTGCCAGAAGTCGTGTGACATGCCGGCTGTGTCCTGCCCGAGCATAGCGGGATCATCGTTACACAGACTGCAAGCAACACCACGCGCTAAAAGGGCGGGTAGGGGATGGGCTGTTACGGAGCCACAGAGACGGAGGACCTCGTTCGAGATGGGGCATGATTCGATGAGAATACGTTTCTCTTTGACCATATCGATCAACAGGGGGTGTTTGAATAGACTGAAGCCGTGGCCGATGCGTCGGGTGCCAAGCAAGATCGCATCAAACAGATTGGCATCAGTGTCAGTGCCATCCCCAAGTGTCTCTCCTGCATGGAAGAAGAAGGGGAGGTTGACGCCTTCCTCGGCGCACTGCTTGCGGAACCAGAAAAGCTCGGGGAGCAGATCAGAAAGGGGTCGGCCCAGGTCCTCGGGACCAACCAAATCATAGCCAGCAATGAGGTCAGGGAAAGCAATCTTTGTGGCGATGCAGCAGTCCATGTTCTCTATGATCAGACGGGTCGGCCAGCTTCTCAGGGAAGTCCAAATGGTGGTGAGACCCCAGAAACCCTTACCCTCTGGTGATTTCTTGAAGTTATCGATTTCCTCGCGCAGAACCTCAAACATGTGAATGTAGTCTTTCTCAGGCTCCTCTTGCTTATCACGGCAGTAGTTAAGTGGCCAAGTGAATCTATGACTGTCAGAAGAAGGTCAGAAACTGTTGATCCATGACTTACCGAAGCTCAGCCCAATTGACACCGTCATCCTTGAGGTTCTTCATGAGCTCGCGGAGGAAGATCCGGAACATGGGCTCATAGTGAATGATGGTGGCGCACACGAGGAAACATTTTCCAAACTTGACCCAAATAGCATCGACTCCATGGTGCTGCTCATGGCTGTCTGTGACAGAAAGAGTGCATCGGCCTTTCAGCCACTTGAGAAAGCCGGATCGTCCACCATGGGGAAACTCATCTGCCGCCTTTGGAAGTGGCACAAAAGCACCAGGCTTGTAGTTCTCTTCCCAAATAGATCCATCACTGTCCGCCTTGGTTCTGTAGCGGAAGCTAGGGACTGCATCCTCTCGAGATTCTTCAGTGTTGAGCGGCCGGTCGCTACACATGTGCATTCCTGGCATTTTCAGAAGCTCATCAAAGAGAAAGTCAAAGTTGACCATGGCGTCCATGTGAGCGTGAAGCAGCGCTCCCTTTGGCATGCGACGAACGATCTTCCAGAGGTTGGTCTTCTCCATGCGATCTTTTGCAAGCATGAACATCATTCCGGGAAAGATGCACTCGTTTCCTGCTTGGGCTAACTCTTCCTCAACTTGAGGGGTCCAGATGGAGTCATTCTCCTGGTCGCGGATGCGGTCGACGATGTCACTCGCGCGCTTGGCAATAGGTGAGAGAGAGGCTCTGAATGAAGCATCTGTGCGAGACTTTTGTTCTTGACTCATGAGGTTTGCTCGGCCTGTGAGATATTGCTGAAGGAAGGGGTCCGAGAGTGAGGGGATGTCTTGAGACACTTCCTCCCACTCTTCATTAGACATGGTATGCTCGTCCGCCATGATTCCTTGATCGATTGGAGGAAGTAGTTGCTCTCAAATGATCGGTGGAGGTTTATGAATAAGATAGAGCTAGAAGTCGTCCGCGAGCGATGAAACGGTAGGATACTGTGGGTGGATTAGGCAGGTCGGGGAAGCGTGCTAGGCAGAAGATCGCTGAAGTCAGATGAGCTGCTTATGATAACGAAGGATCAAAACAGGAACACGTCAGATGTGATGAGGTATGATTTGATGAAGAAGAATATGACACATCAACAAAGAAAAACACTCTGTTAGAGGTAAAGTGAAGCGTTGAATGGAGAGTTGAGGATGTGACGTATAGGCACAAACGGTTACGCTTTGAGTTGAGCGTAACAAACGGTGTGTCACTCCAAGGCCTTCGCCGATAACCGACATCTTGTTTCACGTGACTGTGCCGTCGTTGCACCCGCAGCGTGATTAACCGTCTCACAGCCTCTGATTGGCTGAGCTAGTCTCACAGCTCCCAGTAGGTAGACGCACTTTATCACCTCCAGGATCCATGCATCGTCACACTTGACTCCCTGCAGCCAATCTTCTCCTCAAGATGTTCTCCCCGGCAGTCTGTGGCTGGACACATGAAATGAAGCTATCCCCGCTTTCTATCCTGCGGTGAAGAAGGATATCCCTGGCCTGTCACCCACCTTGTGCCTTGCATCTCGGAGCATGAACGGCATAGCACCAACAATCACGTCGAATGTCACGCTGCTAATTAGTTCGCGGCTGTTCCTGGCAGGCCATTCGCTCCTGAGAATGGCCCTAGTTTTATTCGTCCTATAGCGCGAAACCCCGAGACTCCCAATGGAAATCGTCACGTCCATCACTTGGAATCACCTGCACGGGACATCACAGCTCTAGAGACCGACTTTTCACAATAAATGTGACTTTCTGCTGACCATCGTGAGCCAAGTGGCTTCCTTTCTGACTCAATCCTTCGACCAACGTGCATTCTCACATTCGGTTGGATGCCTTTGAATGGATTTATTTCTGCTGATCCTTAGTGAAGCCGAGCCCGATGGGTGATGGATAATGAGGTCTCCAGAATTATAAAAGGCGAGGGAATTCTTGTGATGTCTATGATGTTTTAGTTCTCTATTACTGTCTTTAACAATTGAGCTGGACTCAATACTACTACAAGCTCATCCTATACTTAATCTACATTGCTCACAGCATCCACCGTACCCTCTTCAAGATGAAGTCATTCACTCTGGTCACTCTCTTGTGCACCATGGCCACAGCTGCAGTCATCCCTCGTGATACTGTCTTCGATGGCCATTGCTGCTTCACGTTACAAGATGTGGCAACTAGTGCTACAGTTCAACAAAACAGCGACGGCAACTTGCTGCTTAATGCCGGCAAAACCAACGGCTTCTACTGTATCGATCTGTCCAATTCTCAGGACATTCTTCGAGACAACGCCTTCAACGCTTGCTTTCTCAGCCCAAGCGGGGCTCTCAAGTGCGTCGATCCAACGCCTGGTTTCCAATCATGGACGTTACAAAAGAGTGGCAGCAATACGCTTCTCCAGCACGACGGAGGAAGCACGTTCAACTCCTGCTCAAAAACTTCTACGAGTGCAAAGGGCACTGTACTATATGGAGACAAACACACAGATGCTACGACGTGTAAAAAGGTTACACTGAAGGCGAAGAATTTCAAGGGCACATGCAAGAGTTTTCAGGGTTGATGGAGGACAGGCGTACAACTAATTGATACCCATTCTTTACACTTGGTTCAACATTCTTGGTTTCTCTTGAGCTTTCATTTTATATAAAACAAGAACAGTTCTGGCCCCAGATTCGCAAAAATGAGTGAAATGATAGAGCCATAGATCAACATCAATGGTGATGTCAAAGTTTGGCAAAGACCTCGTTTCTAGCGCCTCCATACACAACTGCGAAGTCCTTCGCAAGCTGTTCTCGAGCTGGGACCTTTTCTCGCTTCGTAGTGACATTCCTCCCTTCCAAGAATCGATGGAAGATGTCCAGCGATACTTGATCACCGTCACTGCCAGCGTCGACATAGAGCAGAACAGACACCAGTAAATCTGCTACAGCCCAGAGAACTTCCCTAGCATCTCCCATTAAGTCTGCCAACGATTCTCGTTCAATACGCTGCCTCAGGCTCTTCCAAACGTCCAAAGGGTTCAAGCCTTCAGGCCAAGATACATTTCCTTGAAATGCTATACCTTTCTTAATAGAGTCTTCAAGGGCGTTCAGAGTGTCCTGGCCAGCCTTTGGATGCTTAATAGCCCTCAAGAAGTCAGTGCTCAAAACATCTGTAGTGCCCTCCCAGATAGGCAGTACAGCACAATCACGATGGAGGCGGGCGACATTGAGGTACTCTTGCTCTTCATTGGCAAGGTACCCAACACCACCGAGCGCCTCCATACAAGAGAAAAGTAGCTGTGCCGATGCTTTGCAAACGTAAGCTTTTGTGAGCTGAGTAAGGACCCGAATCAATGGCGCAGCATGTTGTGCAGAAGGTGTCAGTGCCTCTAGCGCAGGCGAGATATTTGCGTCTGACGCTGTGTCATGCTCCGAAACGCCAAGGACATATGACGTAAAGATGGTAAGAAGCATCAGGCCACGGTACTCGGAAGATATCTTTGAAAGGGTTCTCATGTGTAATGAACTCTCTGTGAGCTTCATTCGAGTTCCCTTTCCACCACCAACCTCACGAACTTGGGCATACGCTCTTGCAATGGCAAGCCCTCGTCCTAGATAACCCACAGCAGCAACCGAAGAGTGAACTCGAGTCAAGGTCAAAATTGTGGCGATTTCTTGGATACCGCGACCCTCTCGCCCTACAAGCCATGCTCGCATGTCCTGGAGGACTAGTTCAGCGGTTGGGAGACTTTGTGTGCCTGACTTGTTTTTGAGGCGTTGGATCCGAACTCCGTTAAGTTGCTCTCCGTTGCTTTTCGGAAGGCCTGTGGCTGTGGTAGCACTCGCATCGTGTTTGTACATGGGAGCCATGAAGGTTGACAGCCCGCCCTGGGATGTTCGAGCAAGGAGGACAGTCATTCTTGAGTCCGTTGCTGACGAAAACCACTTGAAGCCATTAATACTCCATGGTCCTAATGGTATATCTTCATCTTTTGAGGCGTGTTGGATCTCAGAAGTTGGCATGTGCACTGCTGTTGTTTCGGTCAACGACACATCACTGCCCCCTGTTCGCTCAGTCATCCACTGGCCACTGGTCCAGGCGCGCTGTGGATCTCGTGTAGTTAGATGATCGAAAGCGTTCTCGAATACTTTCTTTTGCTCATCTGTGAGTTTTGTAACGAGTTCTGGGTTACTGAGGTGTGTTTGTAGAAGTCGAGCAGCACCATCCTGCATAGCGGAAGGGCAGCCGACATTGGCACACGATGGCGTCCAAAGTTGTATGCGCATGAATTGGTATGCTCGGGCAAATGCGCCATATGGTGTATCATATCCAGCGGCGACAAATCTAGACATGTCAATAGTTGATCAGTCAACAATGTAGATGTCTTACCCTCGGGACAGACCAAAATTCTGAAGACCACGCCACCCTTCACCAGTGACTAAATCACCCTTCCACTGGCCGAATACATCACGGCCTGATCCTTTGAGGAAGGGTTTGTTATGTTCAGCATCCGTGATCCAGGCAAAAACTTGGTCGGAGAGGACATCATCTCCAAGTGAAGCCAGTTCAGCTTGGACTTGCTGGACGATTTGCCGTGGAAGAAACACTTCGGACACAAGTAAGCACAGGCCTCTGAGTACTAGTAATTGGCCTTAAACTCACACTTGAAGCACCTCTGAAAGGTCACATCATCATGAAACTGGTTGTTCAGAACGGGAGGCTTCTGAAAGAAGCCCTTATCTGCGCCTGAAGCCTCCATGACTGAATGAGGTGAGAGAAGATGAGTATAAACATGTTGGATCCCGCCTGGGGCTGCCTTATTACTGTTGGTCTGCACTGCTACAATCACAAGCCATCGACTACATCTCATCGGGGCCCTCCAGTGGGGTCAGACCTCCAACTCGAGCCAGTATTCCGCCATTTTGGGCAAGTCGTGCGGAAGAAATTCCGGGTTCATGGGTTGCTGGTGTTTTTGTCGCGGAACTAAGAGCCAGAAACGGAATGTGAACCATGATCGTTGGCGGAATCCCTCTAGTTCCTCTCACATCCATGCATGTTTTCTCCGCATTCTTAACTGGGGTCATACCTTGTCCCGAGGTTTGGGTTTCCAACCTCCACATGAACCTATTCCCGAGCCTGGTGTCGATCCCGAAGACTAACTACAAGGTCGTATTCTTGGAAGAAGGCGGAGCGTGTCACGGGAAATACAAGCCTACATTGTGGGAACCAGGTTTAGTAATTAAGGTAAAGATTATCGAGAATCATGAAATTATTCATCAAAGTTCGACCAGAATTGCTCTGAAATTATAATGGTATCAGTTTCAAGTCATAGTGACAAGTTCGTTTCAACAGCTCTCGCAAAGCGTTCAAGTACGCGCTAAGTTTTGGGCTCAGTGTGGCCGCTTGTCGGACGCCTGGTGCCCCTGGTAACTAAGTATTTCTTTCATCAAGTTCATTCCCGAAAAGGACCTTTAGCAATAAAGGCTAAAGGCCATAGAACGTTCTATATGCAATTGCAATAATGAATGAGAAGCGGAGTTTAGTTCTTTTAGCTTAGTACCTAGATAAACAATAAAAAAATGAAAACCGCGATACCAGCCGCTAATTTGTTGCCTTGTTGCTACCAGTACCAACATACAGCACAGCTGTAAACTAAACAAAGTGAACGTCCATCGACACAACATAGTCACAACCCGTATTACTGACCCATTTGAAAGAAGCCAGATGAAGCTCTAATGGTGGCTTTACCCTGTGAACTGGTCACTCAACCACTGGCGAAAGCTTCTTGGCTGCACATTGACAAGGCCATTCAACGATGTATGCCCAAAATCATAACGCCCCTCAACAGTAGCTTGAAGTTGCCGATAAAAGGCAACTTTTTCGTAGTCTCCCTGTTGGTAGAAACCACTCATAAGTCCTGCAATATCTGAAGCTTGCCATTGAGACAGAGAAAATGCCGCTTGATGAGTTAGCATAATCTTTGCATACTTATGCTGTTAACTTACCGTTCAGGGTTCTAGAGCATTGCCCAACAATGTCACGAAGCGACAGACGGTCTCCTCTCATGGTAAACTCGCGAGGCCAGTTCGCAGGTCCCAGATCAATGGCTGCAACGATGAATTGAGCAACATCATATACAGATGTCATGCAGACACGGACAGTATGTCCCCGAGGATTCTTTTCAACGCACTCAGCAGTATAGGTATTCATGTCAAGAATATATGATCCCACGTTAGCTAAGTTTGAACCATAACCAATCGCCAAACTTCCGAGCCCCTGGGGGAGAAATCTTTCCATGAAGATACCGCAGGAGAAGACGGTCCACTTCATCTGGGATGCTCTTGCACAACGTCTGAGATGCTGCCTCGCTTGGGACGAGTATGAATAGGGGTCGAGTTGATCGTTTTCGGGTCGCTTTTCGAGACTTCCTTCGAACTCGGATGGAACAAAGAACTGCACACCGCTTTGGACAGCTGCAGTGATCAGGTTGATCTGTTCACCCCCTGAAAAGGTGCAGATGACAAGATTGACTCCGTGAAGTGCGTATGCCAGGCTATTTTCGTCATTGTAGTCAACAACCATGACTTGAACATCAAGTGTTGCATATTCGGGACGTGACTGTGTTGTTAGAAACATCGTATATATATAAGAGTAATACTCACAGAACGCGAGAGAACAACAACTTGATAAGCGTTGGCTGCTTTGGAAATATGGCTTGCCAGGAGATATCCAAGGCCGGAGCCCCCAGCTATAGCTATTCGCATCATGGTGAAAGTATTACACGCAGTTCCGGTGGACTCTGTTAGGACAGTGTACAGATGTTAGGGTAGTCTAGACAGAGCTAGAGAAGGAATGACTGAGGTTAAATTTTCGAGAACTTGGCGTTACCTAAATAGCTTCTTGTCTGAATTCTTGATTCAAGATGTTGGGGGTGCAGTTGAGCCTCAAGTCTAGATAGACGCATGGCTGAGTACGGCAACAAGCATTACAAGGTAAACTCGGTGAACAAGGCTCATCGGAGAGGCCTCAGTTACAGGCAGAAGCAGGGGAACAAGACATCTGTGGTTCAAGGTCCAACCAAGAGCCTCTACTGGCTCGTGATAAGTTGCCGTGGAGTTGGTTACGGACGAATGTCTGCACGTATTCTCACACAGTAAAACTTTGAAAAGCTCTATTCAACCTCCTTATGGTCACAATTGTGGGGTGCGCTTGATTTCCTGCTTCAAGTGATAGGTCCGGAATGGTGTTGATTTGCCATGTGAAGTCAGGGGTCTCTGGATAAGGGTGCCTAACGAGTTTAAGGGGCCAGGAAGCTGTGAGAAAACTTAAACTACCAATCGCGGATTGGTCAAAATAAAGTACAACAAGTGACAAATATCCCTCCGAGATCTTAGACGACATTTGTCTGGTCGATAGCAATCGGGTACAAAGGCAGTGCACACTGAAGCACAAGACTTATCGTGATCACATGCGGCTTGTTGGTTGCCTCGTTAGCCCTACGAGAGTCAGTCCGTTTGGTTGATGTAGCATGGCTGTGTTGAGGTTCACGGTGGATATGGATGTCTCGTTCTTGGGAACTCGATGTCTGATCATGACATTCTCAGACCTTCAAACTGACTAGTCAGTAACAACCACCCACCTGATCGATTGTTTATCTTCTATCCTTGTTCCATGCTTCCGCCACAAAGGAGTTGCATAGCTCTGCGCCAGTCACGGTCACGGTAGGAGTTGACCGATCAATCTTTAACCTGGACTTATGGGGAAGGGTGTTCAAGCACTATACATCAACTGCGGCTCATAGATCACACGCCTAGAAGGTATACAGAATGCCTTGTGAAGTCAAGAAGAGGCGATTCATGGTTCGTGGGCTGCAGATAGTTCAACGCCCGCCCCATCCGCATCACTGCATCGGACAAGCCGTCATTGGCTTAAAGATAGGCTACACTGATACTAGCAAGGCATGAGACACTGTAGCCTGTTCTAGGGTGAGATCGCAGCGAGGCTCTGGTTCTCGGGGGCAAGAGTATCGAGTGTAGATCAACAACTCCAAGGGCCCATATGGAGATTGGGGGCCAAGACCCTGGCCCATCAGTGGTTGAGCTAATGCAGCAGCCCCCATTATCCATGTCTATTCCCCGTAGGGCTGACTGGGGTTCATAGGAGTGGCGAGCAATTGGGCATATTCATTGGATATTATAGATATTGTTTCGGTGGGAGACAAGTCTTAATCTAACGTCCTTCTTGCCGTGTGGCACCGGTGACTTGCATAGCCATTTTCGAGAAACAGCAGTGATGGTGTAATTTTTGGCGATCAGGAGGGTCTGATCGGAAACGGCCGTTATCGAACCAGTCTATCGGGGTTAATCTGCGATTGAGATTGGCCGTATGCAAGTGTGTCTATGTGTGATTGCTTGTGTTGGAGGATGTAAGCTGCATCACGACACAGAATTTTCAGGTACCTCTATGCAGAGGGAGCCAATTCACTATCAGGAGAAGCCTTTTGCTGCAATCCGGGAGTTTCGCTATATTGTGCATATACAGTTAATATATGTCATCAGGAGCTTACGAAAGGTTTCCCCTAATGATCAATGTATCAAGTCGCAGCGTGCTTATCCTCCATCAAGTCACTTTTCACAAGTTCTACATACCGTAGCTATTGAGGTACCAACTGGAAGCTTCAAGCATCAAATGAGAAGACTCGGGTATATTTTCTTGCAGACCCTATCTAGGCAAGGCCCGAACTGCTTGAAATTATTAATGAAACATCAAACTTGGAAAAGGCGAACACTACCATGGATGTATGCAAATGACCATAATACCCGGGTAACTATGTCTCCCAGTCATATGCTAGCTGGGCTGCATAACAGCACTATGGATGCCTTGTCGTGGTTCTACGGAGCTGCCAACAAGGCTCGTTGCTAGCTTTTTGACACGCAAGAATGTGTCCAGAACTATCCCAATTACCTGATAAGTCATCTCAGTAACCTACCTGTGAATGTCTTAACCTTCAGGTTAAAGTTTCACTGTGAGACATGGAGAGATTTAACGGTAGTACAATTCTACCATCGATGGCAGTTTCACCTGAGACATCTCTAGGCTACACAAGTTGGGGTTTAAAGCATGATGAAATTGGCTTTCAAATCTATCTTGGAGCGTTTAAGACTCACGTTCAAGAAATCTTGATTTCATCCCTCTTCAACTTCGGTTCTTTCAGCCCCATCTCAAACCTATTCGAGTCCAGCCCTTTGCTAGGCAACAGGCCAATATCATATTTCGCCCTGTCTAAGCCTGGAGTGCAGTCTCATCCCTTGTGTTACCACTGCCCTTCCTCCAGCCCTCAGTATGGTCAATCTTCTTTCTAGCCACACTCTCAGACCCCTCAGCTCCCCACGCACCTCCTCCAGGTGTGCAGATAATGATACGGTCTCCAGCCTTCATAGCAGCTGTGTTTTTAGCCCCCATGTTAATACGCCGCTCCTCGTATTCAACCTCCCCTGCATCTTCCTTTGTGTGAAACTGTTTCAGAGAAGTCTGCCAGTTTGCCTTTTCAACGTTACGCACCCACAGGTTCAGGCCGCATTCTCCGTCGCCGCCACCATTCAGCCCATACGGGCGATAGACGCGGCGCTCACTGAGAATAGACACTTGAAGGGGGATCCGGAACTCAATGTCTCGGATGACGCCGTCACCACCGCGATGTTGGCCTCGCCCTCCTGAACCGGACCGAATAGAGAACTCATGGAGAAGTACAGGATAGCG